AATGCAATAATATAAATACTATATCGTAGTCTACTCACGTCACTCTCGCGGCTCAGACGCCTGAAAAGTTCGTCGGTTTCGAACTTGTTCTTTTGGTCCGGCACGACTCGCGGCATTTTGAATATGAACCGGGGCTTGGGGGGCTGTTGTTCGTAGAGGCCGCCGCACATCGGGTCGAAAGGCAACATCCCGGCAGCCATCGAGCCCAAATCGTTCATCATCAACATAGTCGACGAGTCCGATTGATTTCCGTGCCGATTATATTTGTAATATAGGTATCGGGAAGTGAGAATGCGCGGGTATACGAACGATTGTCGCTGGTGGGTAACAAGTGTAGGTATATCGGCTGCGTGTAGTGATGTTGATGATGTCGGACCGCGGGTATGATATTTCAGCGGTCGAGCGCGTCGAATGGAAAATTCGAAGAGAAAAAAAAAAAAATTATATATATATATACTATGCCGTGTAGGAAGGTGCGACGACCGCGACCTGCAGCAACTGAAGCGGACAGCACGACAACGCGAGACTGTTTGCGCGCGCGTCACGACGACCGCACGACGGTCGCGGCCGTGTTTCGGGCGACGCGTTTCGAAAGGGCACGCTTCGACCAATCGGAGCGGTGGGGGCCCCGCCCACATGAGAGGGTTTCTCGGACTTCGCCCGCCGCGGTGCCGCTGTACGGCACGACTGCGATGTGGCGCGCGGTGCCGGCGATAGGTATCCCGAGGCGCCAGGCGAAAATAATAATAATAATACAATCCGGAGGTCCGCGAAAACGGCTTATTGTGCAGACCGTTTCGACGATTTCCACTTTCAACGACTGCAATGATTATAATCCATTAATATTAACACGTCGGCCCGCTACCGATTTAACCGTGTATACGCGCGCGTCATAAATAAATGAAAGTAGTCGGATAGATTTTTAAGTTGAATTATTGGATTAAAATAATAATATTGTACAGCAAGTAAAGTGTATTGATATTATTTGAAAAGCGACGAGGACTAAAGGGGCTGAATAGACAACCCCACACAATGACGATACACGTGTATACCGCTGAGGGAAGTAACGGTCACGATTAAATCGTACCAGTATTCATAGGCGTAAACGGGGGGAGGGGGTTGAGAAAGGGCGACTGCCCCCTGTAAAAACTAAACGAGACAATGCCCCCTTTGACGCGTCCACATTTACCTAGCAAGACAATGCGCCACGGTCCGACAAAAGTCGAAAATCACTAAAATCCGATAAACGCGCTCTGAAATAATGTAAAATGTACTACGGCAACGAACAGTAATAAATACACCAATCGGACAGAAACGTTTTCCGTAACTCAGTAATCAGCTGATCGAGTGTCGCTTCTAAATTGTTTTCGTTGATAATACGATCGTACGTTATGACGAACCCACAGAGTAACTCTATACGGAGTGAACCAAATCCAAGATTTATACACTATTGGACCAAGAAATACTGAATAAAAATATGACTATTTTACATTATTGAAAAAACTTGAACAAGTAATTTAAATACGATTATTAATGAGTTTAATGAACAAAGAGGAAGAAGACTTCAATTGACATCCATTAAGTCCTCCTCCGCCAAAAAAAAAAAAACGAGGATCACAAAAAAAAACGACTGTAAAATTTATTTTTGGAGCTATTGGTTCCTAAAATTGGCCAGAAAACAAAAATTCCAAAGAAACGGAATACTTTTCAAGTCTGATAGTTAATCGCTGTGTAAAACAGAAAAAATATTTACACAAAATATTATGATATCGTTTATAACAGACTGCCAAAGTATTTTTCTCTAAGAAAAATTCAAACAACAATAATTGTTCAGCCGGTCTATGGTCTTGAGAAACGAAGGTACGGGCATATTATTCAATAGTATGATATGTATGCGATAGTCCCGTATCCTTGACCTATCTCTTTATAATAATGGCTAAAAGAAAAAGCAGCAATAGCAGAGGGTTAGGTGTTGTAACGCCATTGGACATGTATTAAACCCACTTTGTGCCCTCATAAAGGTCGATGACCGCGGTGCTAGTTTCTGGGAAGTCTGTTTAAAACGCCCAATTAGATATTCGCATTTTATCGAACATTACTAACTGAATCTATTTTCAAAATAAAACATTTTATTCGCAGTGATTTATCTATTCTAAATGACAAAACAAAAAATGGTATTCTGTTATTATGATTTTGATACAGAATAACGCAAACAAAAAGTATTGGTTTTTTAAGTACGCTTTGATGTCAAAGAAGGCTAAGCAAAGAAGTTTATGGTTATACAAAGATATTTTTTTTTCTATGGACGACTTTTCTACCAGCAATTTGCTCCAACGTTTAATAATAGCAATTTTTCTAAAATGAGTACTTAAGAGTACTTAAGAGAGGTTTTTTTTTCAATTTTCCCAGTTTCTTCGGCTAATATGAAAAACTGGTAAAAACATAGGAAAACCTGGAAAAACATAGAAAAAACAGGGAAATCGGTTAATTAAACAAATTTGTTTAAAGAAAATATATAAAGTCTATTTAATTGTTTTACTATAAAATGACATATATATTTATAGCAATGCATCACTATAAACTAAACTCCACTTAGAATAGGTTTTTCGTAAGCAATGGTTTATCGTTGCTTACAAGTATACATTAAATTATCTATTACACCCGTCGACATTATACAAGGACGTTTTTTTATATTTTATAATATATTGACTTAATGTTCCTATAGTAAGTCAGAATACCACCATTATTCGTTTATATGTACGGGCGACAGTAGTTACGATGTATTTTAAAATGTTGTTCGTATAGGTTGGATATTAAAATACGTCATAAGTACGAATATAAATGAAAGATGAAAAACTTACGTATGACCAATGATTCGTACCTCTAAGAATAGTATTTTAGTAGTATAGTATTTTCGGTTCAGCAAATACCAAATTATGTTCGTATATGGATGACATATTCATACGAGGAACAGGGACATCGATGTACCAGGAGCGCAGGACTCGGATGTTATTGCCGCGACTATTCGTAACGATCGGCAACCAATCGATATCCCCGCGACAAGACGTCGGCGGCAGCCTTCGTCGCCGCAGCGCACACGGCACCTAATGATCTCCTGGACCATTATAAAATTCTCGTTTCGATGCCGACCCCAGCCGAAATATCCACCCTAGAATAAAGTATCAAAAGGTAAATTTTTTTTAAAAAAAAAACGAGTTTTCCGAAAATTGATAAAAATCGTCATAATATAACAATGACGTCATACGTACGAATATAGGTGCAATACGAAGAATATGATATCTAACAATAATTCGTATACCTAAGTTTCGTATTTTCGGTTATACAAGTACCAATTATGTATGACGTATCCGTACGAGGTACAACAGAGACATCGATGTACCAGGAGAGCAGGACTCGGACGTGATTGCCGCGACTATTCATAGCAGTTGGCGCCCGAACGAGTCGTCGNCAGAACCTCATGTTCTCCTGGTCCTTAATAAAATTCTCGGTACAATCCGAATAAACAGCAGGATAAAGTGTCTTACGTTTCTACCATCAATTTGCTCCAATATTTAATAATATCAATTTTTCTAAAAGGAGTGCTTAAGAAAAGATTTTTTTTTTCAATTTTCCCAGTTTTCTCAACTAATAACAATAATAATAATAATAATTCTTTATCTTATTTATTATTTGAATTGTATACCCTTGTTATATAATGCCATTTATCCGTGTTTTACTTTTGAACCTGTACAAACAGCATTTTAAAATATGTAACCCACATAATATCTAACCTCTTTAACTTCCTCTACTTACTATAGGAACACTAATATAATAAATATATAAATATATTTAACATATTTATATAAATATATAATATATTTATATTAAACATGAACATATTGTAATGACTAACCGGTCATTTTATTAGATTTTGCGCGAGTTTTACCAATAAATGAGAAAAATCGTCATTAAATAATGACGTCATACATACGAATATAAGTGCAATACGAAAAACATCCGTATGACATCTAATAATTCGTACACCTAAGTTTCGTATTTTCGGTTATACAAATTATGTATGACGTATTCGTACGAGGTACAACAAAGACATCGATGTACCAGGAGAGCAGGACTCGGACGTGATTGCCGCGACTATTCATAGCAGTTGGCGCCCGAACGAGTCGTNAACCTCATGTTCTCCTGGTCCTTAATAAAATTCTCGGTACAATCCGAATAAACAGCAGGATAAAGTGTCTTACGTATCTTGCTGTAATAATACAATCGAAACAATAATTTATCGCACATTGCGTGTAAACAGTAAAAATAGTGCTTAGAATTAGTAAAACCGGGAGTGCGAGTGAATAGAATCCAGTTATATTTACTAATGCTAAGTAGTAACCCCTTCGCGACTTTACTCTACTAGTGGTTGCACTCGCAACGTGTGATCGTCCTATGCTAGCGCTTAGTGACAAGTATCGGTAAGATCACGTGCGTATTTTGTTGATTTTTCGATTTATCTATTATCTGTAAAATTGATAAAGTTAATTCCAGTTTTATCATCGCAGGGATTGTAATTCTCATAATTGTAATATCTCTTTGAATTAGATGAGATATATTTTGTTTCGGAAATTCAAATTGGTCAGGTGCTATCCTCGTGAAACTTCTGTACTCAAGTGGAACTTCATTAGCAAGTTCTCTTACCAACAGAACTATCAAGGTTATTCCGTCTCAGCAACCATTTTCTTGTTCATAATCGTTTTTTTTTTTTTGATTCGTTTTCAAATTCGTGCATCTATGATGATATTTTAACGTTAGCATAATGTTTAAAAGTTTTCTTTAAAAAAAGGCGACGGTCCTTCGTGACGTTTGGTACGCTATTACTTGTTTACTAGTAAGTATAGCAATCACATATGAACAATAGTTAGATAGTAGGAGTACGAGTAATAGTGCGAGTGACAACTACTCATGGCAAGTACTACGCACCATGTGAACTCGGCATCATGAATAATATACAAAATCCACCTTCTGGAATAGGAGTTGACTTAATGCAAGAAGAGAGGTTAGTTTTTTATTCAAAACAAGTAAGATTATGTTTATTTATTATTTACATCAGCATTTGCAATTCTAATAAATAAAATATACAATGCTTCAATTACTAAAAATATATTAAAAATTTNAAAACAAAAGTTATTTCAAGTATCAGATCTGTGTGTTATATATACTATACAATTTTCCCATCAAGAATACCTTAAATGGTGCTAAATAAATTAATAAATAATGTTTATAAATTTTGATTTATAAAATTAATATTAACAATTATCATTTATTTATTGTTGATTGTAATGACATAAAGTGTATTTTAATTCTGTTTTTAGATTCGTAAATGTGAGTTTTAAAGCCATTAGAGATATCTTGCAGTATTTTATGCCAGTCATTATGAATAATATACAAAATCCACCTTCTGGAATAGGAGTTGACTTAATGCAAGAAGAGAGGTTAGTTTTTTATTCAAAACAAGTAAGATTATGTTTATTTATTATTTACATCAGCATTTGCAATTCTAATAAATAAAATATACAATGCTTCAATTACTAAAAATATATTAAAAATTTAAAATATATACATTATGCATACTGTTAAAGCTGTTCAATTCACTTTTAATTATTATTTCATCAATATTATTTGATATGTTTAATAAAAACTGAAAATCGGCAAATTAATTAGTGAATAAAAATGCTGACGGGTGTACCATTATGATAGGTGGGAATTTGAGATGAATGAATACATACAATTATTTAATTTATGTCTGTTATCACTGATAAACTATTGCTGAGCTATAGCATTTAGCTTAAAAATATTTTGAAAATTTTACAACATATTTTAACCAACTTTTCTACCAATAATCTTATTCTAATATATCAAGTATAACTTATTTTCTGAAAGGAAACTTTATCTCCATAGTAAATTGGGAAGGTCATTTTTTGATTTTCCGGGAGTTTTCCCAATAAATGGGAAAAGTCGTGAAAAATGGGGAAAATGTATAAAATACAATAGTAAAATATTACAATTTCTTTTTGTAGACAACTTTTCTAAGTTCAATTATGCTTCGATTTTCAATCATAGCACTTTTTTTAAAGGGAAATCTGACCGAGGAGGTACTTTAAAGAGGTCAGCTTTCGATTTTCTCAAAAGTTTCGCCAGTCAATGTGAAAAACCCGAATAAAACCCGGCAAAATCGGCAAAATCAAACAAATTTGAATAAAGAAAATATATAAAGTCTATTTAATTAATACACTATGAGATGACATAAAAATTGAAGGCAAATCATCACTATCAACTGAACCCTGATTACAATATGTTTTTCGTAAGCAATAGTTTATCATTGCTTACAGGTATACATTAAATTATCTATTGCAGCAGGTACACCCGTCAACATTATCCTAGGACGTTTTTTTTTGTATTTAATAATGTATTAAATTGGTATTCCTATAGTAAGTCAGAATACCACCATTATTCATTTATATATACGGGCGACAATAGATGCGATGTATTTTTAAATATTGTTCGTGTAGGTTGGATATTAAAATACGGATCATCACGTATGACGTCATCATATAATGACGTCATACGTACGAATATAAATACCATACGAAAGACATCCGTACGATCAATGATTCGTATATCTAAATTTCGTATATTCGGTTATACAAGTACCAAATTATGTTCGTATATGAATGACGTAATCGTACGAGATACAAAAGATACATCGATATACCAGGAGCGCAGGACTCGGAAGCTTTTGTCGCGACTATTCGTAACGGTCGTCGCCCGAACGATATTGCCGCGACGAGTCACCGTCGTCGTCGGCTGAACGATATTGCCGCGACGAGTGGCATGTGTCGGCGGCAGAACATTATCCCCGCCACGAGTAGTCGAATATAATACGAATATATTGTGTGTAACGCACGTTCAACGCGATTCAACACGTTCAACGCGGTTCAACGCGTTCAACGTACGCGGTTCATTCGTACGCGGTCCGCGGGAGACGTCGACGTACCAGGAGCGCAGGACCCGGACGTTGTTGCCGCGTCGGGCGGTCGACGGTAGCCGTCGTCGCCGCAGCGCACACNACAAACGAGTTACACAAGGTACATCAATGTACCGGTCGGCGGCCGAACGATATTGCTGCGAAGAGTCGCAGTTGTCGGCGGCAGAACGTTATTCCCGCGACGAGTCGTCGAATATAATACGAATATATTGTGTGTGACGCACGTTCAACGCGATTCAACACTTTCAACGCGGTTCAACACGTTCAACGTACGCGGTTCATTCGTACGCGGTCCGCGGGAGACGTCGACGTACCAGGAGCGCAGGACCCGGACGTTGTTGCCGCGTCGGGCGGTCGACGGTAGCGCAGCGGCGGCGGCGTCACGTGTGTCTTGGAGTACTAGAGGACCAGGAATTTTAGAGGGCCCAGCTGGCTTCGCGAATGTCTGCTAGAATGAAGTTTCCGTTTAAAACGTTAAAAATAATTCTTATAATATATCTATTCTTAATATGTCATTTTAATATAACATATTAATAAAATAAATAGAAGGTACCTACTACCTACCATCGGTTCGTTAAATAATATATTTTAATTTTTGTCTGAAAGAGATAGTGAAAATATAACAAAACAACAGTAATAAGTACCTAAA